CTACCACCAAATCATTCTACTTTGGGTATGTCCTATAACAACATTGGTATAGTTTATTACTACATGGGTCAGTACTCAAACGCACTTTCATTCCATGAAAAAGCGCTTGAAATCTTTAAAAAAGCCTTACCTTCGAATCATCCTGATTTGGCTGTAACCTATGGCCATATTGGTAATGACTACTACAGTGTGGGCGAATGCTCTAAAGCACTTCTGTTTTTTGAACGTGCAGTAGCCATTGGACGAAGTTCGTTATCCTCAAATCACCCTCATCTTCAATGGTATAAGAACAACCTAGGAGATATAAAACGAAACAATAAATGATACTAATTTCTTCGAAATCAACTCGAAAGATTAAAAAAGGGTGTGGGATGTGGGTGTGAGTGTGATTCTTTTTCCACACACCCACACTCTTAAACTTCAAATTCATGTCTATATCCTAAACCTTGCACCCTTAGATAATATTTTCAGTAGTCGACTTCAGATATAGAGGTATCGATCGCAACGAAGTTTGGGCATGGGTGCGTGTGTAATTGAGTATGTAGATGATTGAGTTTGAATGTGTAGAGAAAGAGTCTCGAGATAACATGTGTATGATTGGATTTGAATGTGGATGTGTAGGCGAGTGGTTGTGGGTGATCAGGTTGATGTGATTGGATGTAGATGTGGGTATGGGTGTGGGTGTGGGTGTAGATCACATTCCGCAATTAATCCGCACCCACACCCTAAAAATAAACTAATAACTTTTTGAGTCCTCGGTGCTAAATGAATATTTAATACGACAAATCAGTTTTATTGTTTCTTAAGTTCTTAATTTGGAGAAAAAAGCGATTCTTAGAATAATGTCTCATGATCACTGATTAGTCACAGTCGTGAGTTTTACCTGTAGAGTATCAAGAATAATGGAAGTACAATGAAAACAAGAGAAATATTGATTAAGATGTTTTGTATACATATAACCTAAGGAAAGATCTCATTTGCATGGATATAGTTGTATTCTTTCATTTCATTTAAGAATAACTTACAGTTTCATTCAATGAGTTCACGAGCTTCATTACAACATTATACAACGATTGTATATTTTCATTCGGTCACCTTGGATTCTACATGATCAACTAGTAGAACGAAAAATCAACGAGGACTAGGTTCGCAGCACTGGTTTTTTATGTTATTATTGTCATATTTTTTTATTTAAGATGGATAGATACACTTTTTTTTTAGGAGGACTTCGGATTGTGATGATAAAAACAGATATGATATAAACGTATGATAGTCTGTGTTTTTCTGCATTTGTTACTAATGGACGCAAAATAATCATCATTGTAATACATATAAAGGCCAACTTTTCATCATTAAGTATAATGGAATAGAATAAGATTAGTTAACACAAAGAGAATACAAAATAGGCATTGGCATAAGAAGCTCTACTCAATTCCGAGAACTAAACTCTCTCTACTTAGTATATAAGCAGCGCTCGATTACTTTCGATCTCATTTTATTTGATAGAATTATAATTGGATATTGGCCATTATATGACATAATCATCATGGATCGTATTTAAATAACACATAGTCTATTTTCATATTAGATTCCGTGTAACTTGTTGAATATCAACCAGCTAATTGAAGGTCTTCCGATTTCATCAATTCCAGTATCTAGATCATTAATAATGAGGCGATGAATTTTTTTATCATTACAGTATTTCTCTAGGTTTGAGGTCTGAGAAATCGTGCTTCAGCATCAGCTACTTTTTGTCTTTCGCGAACTTTTTTTTTATGGCGTTTTTGTCTATGAGGCAAAGTCGAAAAAGTAAAATTTTATTTATTACGAATTGTTTTTCCCTATTCATGTCCAATCCATACATATAACATTGATCAAAGTTTTTGTCAACATAGTATAGTTAGATACATGCTAATCCATTGAAGATATATACATAATAAGTTGTGCTAAAAATATTTGTATACTAATTTCTTTTTTGATTTGTCCATTAAATAATCTTTCATAACGATTACATTTTCGTACACTGTAACTATAATGGTTGATATCTGATTACATTGCTTCAACATGCTTTAAACAGGATAAATGAGGTTATTATTCCTATGATAAAAGTTCGTCATTTTCCATGCTATTATGTGAAAACGACGTTAGACATAGTATCGCTGTGCCTTTTTGTACATAAAAATCGTATTTCTGGAGTATTGAAAAGAAATCAAGAGACAGGTTGACTCTATTTAATGAATGTCCAATTTGTTTTAGACTTCTTGAGGATAATAAATTATCTCATATTCAATTTCCATGATAATATCGAAAAGCCAGTATGTGAATATTTGTACTCGCAAAATTTCTACTATTTGGATATCAATTTATTGATCGATTCATCATGAGTAAAAAGGTGACGTTGTATTATGGAGAAAGAGTCTTATAAGAGTTTCAGCTGTTTTAAACTGGTGAAGTGAGATTGTCAGTTGGTTATATTCGTATTTCTATGTTAATATAAAAAATAATCTTGTCGACATGTTATAAAGATTTGTCATATCTTATTATGATAATTTGATTTTTTAAACTTCATATATTTCTACTGGCATTTATTTCGATATGACAAAGGCGGAACAGACATTGACAGTGGCACAACTTGAATATTTACGTCAATGTGAGTTTGTTTTATAATATAAGACTACTTTAAGAATAAGAAGTAGATTTACTGTCTACAAAGAAGGTGAAACACAATCATAACAATGTTCGATAGGAAATTCGATATACTTTGGAATAGTCTTTTTCTATTCATCGATGTATGTCCAATTGAGAGATCGATTGTTTGGTATTTAAATTAATTGAATTTAGAGAGATATTTAATCTGGATATTAAAATAGTGAAGTAAGAGAGGTTCAAGAGAAGCAAGTACAGTTGAATGCGTCATTTAACACATACTTAAACTCTCGCTTCTTTGAAAAATTAAATAAGAATACTTTTTAGACGTCTTTTTTGCATAACACGCTGGATTAGATATCAACAATCCCTCATGTTAACTTTGGAAAAGGTTCTTAACTAGTCCTTTTTGAACATAATTGCGATCCTAAGATATCAATAACAGAACTGATAGAATGGGTCTGGATAGTTGTCGAAGCAAGCGGGTAGTCTAAGGAAGTTGAATGCCGTTGGAGAAATTTTCAACATGAGTGTTTCCTAATTAAACGAGAATCAATCTCCCAACATTCGCTTTGAGATCTTCCTGATCTAGAATTCTATCTCTGCTGCTATACATGACGTACAACTAATGTTCATACTATGATAAAGAAAAAAAAAACATTGCTTTTTGCATGTTGTCATCTCCTTACGAGAATTTAAACGTTTTAAACTTTTGCAGAGTAGAATTTCTCCTTTTGTCTCTACCTGATATGTCTATCAACGCCAGTCATTAAATCGTGGTGTCTGCTTCATATTATCCTCGAAAACTGCTCTAATGAATGGATGAATATTACTAAACCATAGTGGATCTGTCAGTTTGGGGCATATCGATGAATACAAAAAGATTATTCAAAACTAAGTCGAATTTCCTATCGAATATTGTTATCATTTCCTCTAACCTTCTCTGTAAACAATAAATCTACTACTTATTGAATAGATCTTACTAATAATCAAAACTTTTTGATCGCCCTATGTAGATTATGATCACAACTCAACGCCGAGTCTATCACAAATGGAAAACCATTGTTGTAGAATGGGGTGTTGAAGATAGATCGTTTATTGTTGCTGTCTTTGCGAGTAGAGTTAGTTTAGTTTACATTTCAATATATTGTTGTGTGATTATAAATAGAGTTGGTTTTCTGAACAACGTTGGTTTCAACAACAAAGACAATACCTGTATGAATTAGTCCGAAAAGCTGGAGGCTAGGATTATCAAACAATTTTTCATGTTGTTTATCAATCCTTCTTTGATTAAGACAAAAACTTATATTGTTCTTTTGGTCTGAAAATAAAGTCTTTACATGCTTCTTAATGTCAACCACTAATGGAATAAATAAATCGTTATATGAAAAAATAAAAATAAATAAATAAATAAAAAGACATATAATGACCAATAAAATGTATATAGTTCCACAAGTTCATTTTAGATTTATTTTCCGAATAACAATAATAATATTCATTGTATCTTCGATCAACATGAACAGTTGTCATTGTTAGCGACTAATGAAATTAATCCCATACCTTGAACATTCATTTCATTAATACTTAAAGATGGCATCGATTCGAGTATTTATTTGTCAGATCGAGCTCATTGTTTAAAAAGTTCAAAACCAAACCAATTCGATTCCTGTTTGTACCATTCTAAGTTATTGAATTTTAATCTCTATTTATTCTAAAAGGAAAAAGCTTCGCATGTCATATTTTGTTGTTTAAGTATGGTCATTCAATATATGACTTTTGATAATAATAACATTTCATATAATTATAATATTTCATCAACAAAATAAATATACAATCTATTTGTTACAAATATTCTTGATCAAATTTATTTAAAAAGAGATGCTAATTGAATGGATGATTGAAAAAGAATCTCTAATTTGTATAATAATTGGTAAAGTAAAAGATATTTCATTATTTAATAAGTAATTCTTCACAATTAATGGTTATAAAATGTATGAAATTAAATCATCCTAATAATGATACAAAATTATTTTTTTCTCAATTCTGAAACAGATTTGTTAATTTTTTTTTCATACAGGGTGTAGGTCTGTCAGTAATCCGTTCGACTACATCCACACTATTAACTGTTGATATTTTATATAATGAATAGTCAGAACATATTATGATTCTGATTGGTATGAAGTAACACTTATAAATGATTATGAACAAGATTAAAAGAAATGATACTATTGAAATACTTGATAGACCAAGTAAACCAAAAAAATTTAATTGTAAAATTATTGAATATTGATCAATGTGAATTAATATTGAAACAATCTGATAATGATGACGATTCACTATTGATTGATTATTGTATGAGAAAATGTGAAGAAGGACGAGCTGCACCATCGAATGAAATTTGTCTAATAAATATTGAAGAAAGAAAAACAATTGTTAATAAATTAATTCATAGTGCTAAAAATTGTTGTCGTGTTTGTGTAGAAAATAAATATTGTCGATTAGAACCATGTGAAATTATTGAACTAATACTTATTCAGAAGCCATTTCCTAACATATTATTTTAGAAAAATTAAAATTTTGTTTTTGAGATTTATTAATTATAAACAAAAAGAAAAAAAAAATCATGTCATCGAATAATAGTCATTCAAGCAGACAAGAATTTTCGTAAATACGATTAAACACCCTAATTGCAGTTTCTCTTCCAGAATTTTCACATCCATTCAGAAAATACTGAGATCAGCTACTTTCAATTTAAACGATGGATAAAGACGATTAGAAAGACAACTTTTGAATCCGAGAAAATGTTCAAAAGATTTTCTTACAATATATTGGACATGCATCGCCCATAAAAAGAGTCATTTTTATCTGCAAAAGTTGTCTTTTTAATGGTCTTCATACACTTTTATGATGAAAGTTACTGGTTTTGGTGTTTTCTGAGTGGACATGAAAACACTCAAACAACAACTACAATTAGTATCAAAACTCAATTTAATAATTAAAATCTTCTTTCGGAACTTGAGTTGTGAAATGAAGTTCAGCGTTTAAATCTTAATTTACATATAAAAACTGACTTAATTTATCTAGTCTTGAAAATTTCCAATGTCTTATACTCACACAAAACAGAAAAAATAATTTAACTAAATCTATAATATTTCTTGATGAAGTTTCTTTGTTGTTTAATTTTCTATGTTGATTAAGAAAGAAATTCTAATATTTAATTTCTAGATCGTCCATCTACATCGAAAGCTACATTTGTTGACGAAATATTTTCAAGAACACATCATATGCAATGCATACCAACATTTAGTGATGATCGAACATCAGTAACAGTTTATTTTGTTGAACGTCGTTTATAAGGAAGTTCACATTGATCAAAAGTAACACAACAAATCATTACATTAGATACAAATTAAATTAAAGTTGAAGAAATTATTGAAGAAAATAAATATAAATTTCGAATAATTGCTTGTAATCAAGTTGATCAACCATATCCAAAAGACCGATCAAGAATTATTGTTGCTAAAAATTCATTTAGCATGTCATATGATTTTTCAGAAAAAAACATGGGTACACGTATTCATTTACCTATAAGTGCGATTGGTAATGAATGGTTTGATTTAAATTAGTAACTATCAATTAAAGATATGGGTTCACTTATCACAGATAACGTAATTGAACGATGAACCGCTTGAAGTTATAAATTGCAGAGTCGTGCTGTCTATTCTTTGCCTATTAGTATATCCATTAGTGTATAAGTAACTGTTCATGAAAATTTATTCAAATTTGTACGATAATGTATTCGTTGATTTTCATTATGAATATTTACCAGAATTCTTGCCTTTTTTTAGATTAGCCTTTTGCTTGTTTATATCGCTTGATAAAACTTAGGACATACCAAGAGTAGTGATTGTGACAGATTAAATTCCATAGGAAAGAACTTACCAAGCTTTTGCTTCAACAAGTATTTGAGCTAGTAGCCATGCTTAATCACGCACAATCAATTTGTTGAAATTATTTTTTAAATAATCTTTGATTGAAGAAGTTTATCAACTAGATCAAGTAACTGAAAAATATTTTCTACTTTATCTCTCGAGTATGTTGAGTATAAAATATAGGAGCTACTTAAGTTATCAGCCAAATAGAATAATTTTAATTGCAACATACATAATACGTAATATTTTAGGTTTTATAACAAATTCTCTGTAACTACTATGAAATTCAGTACGAAGCAACTCTATAAGATAACTTGATATCAATTCAATATGCATCTATGACACAAAAAGTTATCTAAAGAATACTTAGTGTATTTAAATTTTGAGAACGAATTCAACAATAACATTGACTTTTAACGATCAAGGCTCTATGTTTACCTTTCAATTCACACACTTGTTGTCCGTGCCTTTTAATACAGTACGAAGCATTATATGAATATGAATTGAGACGACTTTTTTCTTTTTGATACGGTCCAAAGCATCGCATTAATGTAAATTGAGGCAAGGTTTTTTTTCGTTTTAACACAGTTCAATGTAATGTACCCATACACACTGAGGCATTTTTTTTCTTTTTGATATAGTTCGAATCACTGCATTTATGTTGACCGAAGTGAATTTTGTTTTCTTTATGATACGGTTCGAAGCACAGTATAAATTGTGAATTGGAGCAACTTCATTTTCTTTATTGTAAGGTGTGAAGCATTTATATAGTTATTCGTTACGAGTTTTCAGTAGATCTTTCATTCTTTCTTTCTGTCTTAGACGTGCACATTTTTTTTCAAATTCCGAAATAATTGAAACGAAGATAGCCAGAAAAGTTAGTTATCACTGAACAAGTGATTTTATATATGACAGTTGTAATTACAATGGATGATAGATACTGAATCAGAGAGAAAATCAAGAGACTAAAACATGTTGATATCTGTTAATAGACTTCTCTTAGTTATGAATTTCATCATGGCTACTTTTCAGTTTCTTTGCGACTCTAATCAATTCATTGAGCCTTTCATACGTAATCGTAGAAATGATTTTTTCTTTCAGCTTTCGTTTGTTTTGTTCATTAATTTATGTAGTTACAGTCAATAATTACATTCGCAAATATTTGCATCATCATTTCGATGCGTATAATTGATTGAAAGATAGAAAAAAATATCGTTCAAAGAATCTTTCAAGCAATGTTTTATTTTAACATGGAGATCGAGAGGGGGATATTTGTAAAATACATTCTAATTCACTCTAATCGCCGTTTAACTCGAAGTTAATATCATTCGATAGAGCTTAGAATTCTTCACTCAGGAGGTCTCACTCTAAGCCATTTTCTTTACAAAATCTTTGATAAAAGAATCAAATACCATTTTTATAGGTCCATTCCAACCCATTCTAAGCCCACTTCAATTCACTCTAAGTCAATTTTTTGTGAGAAAATGAATAACTCATAATAATAAACAACTCTTTGATTTATT